CATATTCTTTTCCAACACTAATAGTCTAATACACAGATAATGCATAATTATGCAAGACTGGAACACATATAATATTACTCCAAACAAAATATTAACAAAATTAACATAAAGGTCAGTACAATGATAATGTTTACAATACCAAAAAATTATTTAATAGAGCAATATCAACAAAACTAAAAATATGATCACTTCTATTGTACATTTCTAAGTATATTCTAAAAAATTATACATATTCAATTGTTTTTTCTCATATAGAAAAGTTCACACAGATCAATGCAACAATGTTAAGTAAACTAAGAGGCTACTAAATGATGTAGCGCAGCGTCGAACAAAAGGGAATAAAGAGATGAAATCTCTTGAACAATAATTTTATTTCACGATAAAACTGTTTTTCATCAGCAAGAAGAAGAGAATAAATAGTCTCCCAATCCTAGGTCTCCTAAACATCCTAAATAAGGGAATAATACTTAAATAAATATTAAATAAAACATGGAATATAAATAAAAGGTAGGAAATAAATAACTAGACTAAAGAAGGCATCCGGTCGTATTTCTGCATAAACGCCAATGCGATCTCGTCTCCATCATCCTCCCTCGGTTGGGAAGGATTCGCCCTCGAATCCGGATCGATCTCGTCTTCGTCCGAATTGTCACCCGCAAATGGCACGAGATGCTTAACATTGAACACATCAGAGGTCCGCAAGTGCGAAGGAAGCCGGAGGCGATAGGCATTTGGATTGATCTTCTCAACTATCTCAACCGGGCCAATCTTACGAGCCGCTAACTTGTTGTATTCATGCGCCGAGAAACGGTCCTTGGTGAGGACAGCCCACACAAAATCCCCAACCTCGAACTCGACGTGACGTCGACGGGAATCCGCCCGCCGCTTATACGCCGCCGTGACCTCCTCTAGACGCGCCCGGGCCGCTTCCTGAGTCCGCCGGAGATCGACCATGAAGTCCTCGGCACGGCGGTCGGCGCTCTCGGATGAAGGAAGGGCAATGAGGTCAGCGGCCCCCCGCGGCCGCGCCGCGTAGACTACCTCAAAAGGAGAGAACCCAGTAGCTCTACTCAAAGCCGAATTGTGAGCAAACTCGGCCTGGCCCAACTTCTGATCCCAACTACACAAGTTCTCCCCCACGAGACAACGCAGCAAATTCCCAAGGGAACGATTCACGACCT